AAACCAATGAAAATATCATTTTTTGCATACTGTTTCAATATTGATTTTAGTATCTGAAAAAGGTTTGACATTCAAGATCATACCTGCAACACAAACAGGTTCATAGTAATCCTTGCCCTGTATATGTCCTTGCTGATCAGCCCTAGAAAATGTATCCTCATCGCTCACGATGCAATTCTTTTCGGATGGACTAAATTCCACGGAACGACAGAATGTATTCAAGGAATCTAGACATTTTTGCAAACAAAATGATTCCTGTGCCTCAACAGATTGTGTATGATCATAAAAATGTATCTCAAAATTGGTCGTTTTAACGAAAACCAGGTTACCACCCGCTTCGCCACATCGATTTTGACCTAAAAAAAGTTAATTAAATCAGTTCCTTTACCTTTTTTTTGTTTCTTGTTTTTGGTTTAAATATCGAAATACCCTTGAATAAGGAGCAGCGTAGCCATATATCTTTTACTTTCACATAGCTCTTCAACATTCCTGATGATATGGTTTGTTTTTCACTCTAGTTATGAGTGAAGATACCTTTTAAGTCAATAAACGCTAGTTTCCGGATTTCCGGATAATCCGAAAGCAGTGAAATGCATTTTGTTGTCATGGGAAGACTTTCTTTGATTCAAATATTTGCAATCTTATAAAACTCGAATTTAGTTGGTCGGAATTCTTACCTTAGACAATCACATATATTGAAGTTAAGCACCGTACTTACGATTATCCATCTAATTAGCAGTAATAATAATTTTATGTATATTCAGGAATACATCTTTTCAATGTCATCAGTTTATCTTGCTTCTATATGAAAACTGATCAATCCATACATGGAAATCAATTCTCAACCTAAAATGTCCCTATTTCTATGGACAGAGGAGAAAATCTTTTTTAAGGATTCAAGCAACTGTAAACAAATTACGTGAAAGACAGTTGTTGTCATAATAATCGACGGATGAATCGCTGTGTCGTAAATGATTTGGCTTTGAGCGTCGATCTTCTGTTGATAATTCGCATAAATAAGTGTCATAATTGTAATTTACTGATCGACAAACAAATTCTTCTTCTTTAAGACACGCTGATAGACATTGTTCGCGAGATCCAACCTTAAAATATCATTTAATACTTCGAGGACATCGAAATACCAATTGCAAATCATTTTTGGAACAATGAAACATAATTCATGTTGTTTCTAGCAATTCCAATTATGTTTTGGGAAAAGAAAAGGAAAGTAGATATCAAGGCTAATGTCTTGTCTTTCTTTAATTAATTGCAATTTAATTTTGATCTGCTATAGCATATTCTCACCTTCTTCAGCTTTCTGTCTACTTGAAATGATGTTTTATCGGTTTCTGTTTCCACATCCTTCCTATTACATGCATTATCACTCCCTATTAAATTGTTAAAATGTTGATGTTCTTTTTTTTTTGGAAGGAGAATTATAAATGATATGATGTTTGTGCTATCACTGACTTACAAGTCACTTGCATATCAGCGATTTTCATGAATAAGGTGTCAAACATATCAATAATTTCTTCAAAATGGAACCACATTTTGAGTAGACAAAAAATCTTTTGGCTTATCGATGGCGTTCTTAGAAGGGAAACGGTATGAATTTGAAATTATAACAGCTGCAGAACGTTATAGAAACAATACCGTTACATGTTTCGATCAGTCAATTTTAAACAAAGTCAAACTTGTACATTAAGTAATAACTCAGAAGTAATAGTTACAGCCACGAAGGCAATTCTCCAATAAGTGTACTCTTCATATGACTGTAATTTCAGTTATGTGCTAACTTTAGTAATACTTGTTAAAAGAGCGCAATATCGATTAGAATACCTGGACGGATTTACGAACGAATCCTTCCAAAGCGGTCTTTCGAGTATGCTCAAATGAAAATGATCGGTATGTGCATGCTTCATGTGCACTAACACCTGGGATGCATGTCTTCTCATAGTAAAAATTATTTGCTGATGGATTTGACGCCAGATTAGCAGTGCCCGCTGGAGTGGCAGCATCATCGAAGAAATAACACGTTTCACGACCATCAAAATTAAACGAAGCACAGACTCGTTGAGCTCCCGTTGTTGGTTCAATGTTATTACGACAGTACTGGGCGCATGTAAGATCATGTCCGGCAGTGGATACGACAACTGGTGTTCCGGAAAGGCGCGCTCGTGCTATACGGACAAATGCCGTTGTTTCATGATTTCCACACTCAAACACAGCCCAGCTTATCATTGCACATGATGTTAGCAGGAGTAGTAATGATAAGAACGCAGCACAAGATACCATCGATAATTACCTGAAATCCTATATCTGATAAGGGAAACTCCTTTCCTGGAATTGATATGATGACTGACTACTTCTAACAGGGGAGAATGGCTATACTAGTTTGGTACGTCCAGTTAACATGATTCAAATGGCAAGTTGTGCTAGTAATTGTTGTAATTTCTGTTTGGGTATGTACTATGGTACACACCTTATCATCACACCTCCCCTGTTAGTTGTTTAGTCACTCCTCCTTGACCTCGTTCCCGTCTTTCAGCGGTCGTTCATCGGCCTAAATTTTTTCACATCTAAAGACACATGTCGATGATCGCATCATCACCATCATCATCATCTTCGATCACCTCTTCAACCAACTTCCTCGGACTCTTGTTCTTCAATATCCATGGGTGATGGAATTCTGATCTACAACCTCCTCCGAATTTTTCTCGTATAGCTCCATTACGTATCGAAGAATGATAGTCACCATTTCAGTATTTTTCTAAATACACATGCCACAGGGAAAAAAATTTACAGGCACACGCTGGAGTAATTCTAATTTGTACCCTCCATGGTAATTCTTCGTCGGAATCGTGCAAAAAGCGAATTAATTTTCGTTTGTTGAAAGATAATAATATTTTGGTTGCAATCATTTTAATATGATCAAAGATTGAAAGTACTATTCGTAAAATTAGAATTTACAAGTAACAGTTTGAATCAGTGATTCAACATTTCTTCAACATCTCAGGGAATGAATTGAAATTGCAATTGAACAGCATATGAACAATAAAGGGACAAAATTCAGACACTTAAAAACCTTAAATACTTTATATATTTTATTTAATACCAAAACCTCATTATCACCAATTCAGGTTTGGCCAAATGTGGAAACAATCCTTACTCTATCTTAATGAAATCATCGTCTCGAAAAAAAGTTTTAGATTACGGGCATTTTCAGTTCCAACCATTGTTTATTTACTGGATTTCTTACATTTAAGTGCATATTTTGTAAACAGTTATTTTTTGTGACCAATAATCCATTTAGTAGACTTAAAAGAAAAGCTGATGAAATAAAAATATTTAATCCGTATAAGAATCTTTTTATGAAAATCGATTTGAAGTTGCAACTTTTCCTGTTATTTTCAACACCTTTTGAAGCGAATTATTTAAATTACTGATTGAAAGGATAATATTTATTTGATTCAATGTTACCTCTCACTTTTTCTTTTGATCGCATCGATCATCTACGATACTGCCGGTTATTCTTTGATCTTATCCAGAAAACTCGCGCTATACCATTTCAAATTTTTTGGAATCTTTTTTTTCAATTTAAAAGATTCCATTACTTGATTATTGAAATTTATTCCTCAGAATTTGTCTTATTTTCATTTATTTGGACAGGTTAAGTTAAATTCAACCAGTTTAATATAAGCAGTTATGTTAAATTTAATAAATTAAAACTAATAATTTTTCATAAATAAGCTGAAAAAATTTAACCAGCTTTAAGATCACAAGCAATGTTGTATATCTTCCCTTTTCTTACCTGTTCTTCGTCCCACCATATAGTTCAATCACTAAATGTTATTTGTGAAGGAGATAAACGTCCTTGACCGGGAAAATAATGTTACCTGATATGGGTATGCACCCATAACAAATATCTCACATTCATTCCGTCAACAAATGCCACATTTTTGTCCACCCAGAAACTGAAAATAGCGCAGAAAATCGACGAGATACGTAGACTTTCTTCCGTCAGACGCTTTTTGGATTATTTTTCTAGCAGCTGACAACATCAGCATTGCTTATAGAAATCCGTATCTGTGAAAATACCTAACACTTTAATGGGAAAAGCACACCAAAAGGTTACTCAGATTTCTCAGGAAACGAGGAATTCAGGAAGTGAACAACGGAGATTCCTGAAGGGAAACGTAACCTAAACATCATCTAAGCTTGATGATACAGATTCCTGTGTTAACTACATTTGAATTGTTAGGTCGGAACACCTGCACAACATCACAGTCTCCATATTAAGCTGCACAGTTTGATGGGATATCCCGAATTGACAAGCCTTACTTCATATTTTAATCTGCTCTACTATACTGGAAGTTTTCTGTTCTCTTTGTCCCACGAAGGGACTCAACATAGCAGATGTCATTCCAAGAAGCAGAAACCATACAATTCGTTCCATCAATGTAGTGTTACAGTTACAGTAAAGCAGTTCCAGTGAACAAATGTTATTCGATCCATATTTCAAATTGTGTTACCTGGTCAAACTCCACTATACGTTGTAATTTTGCCAGTGTAAATTAATTAATGCGATTAGCGAAATTTGTTTATTTTCAACGGTCAAGCAAATTTGGAAGGAAAAAAAACAATTTAAATGAAAAATGAAGGTACAATAAGGACAAAACGAATATGTAAATGTATGTTCATTACGACATTGCTTTATTAGTTATGAAAGGGAAGGAAGAATAAAGCTCAATTTGAGATATTTTACCACAGCATAAAAAGCAAAAAATCGGTATGATAATAATAACAGCAAAGAGCAGTAGCAACTTGTAGCGAGCGCACTACAACATATATTAATGTTGGACGATTTTGCGAATTTACTGGAAAAATACTTCCAATGAGGTAGTCCCAAAAAATTTCCAGCCTTCGGAACTCTTTTTCATCACACACTATATTGGAGTGAATAAAGACAGACATAAACCTAGCAAAACTCACTATTTTTCAGACACATTCTACTTGAAACATGCTTAGAATCTAAATAAATATCTGATTTGACCGTAATTCGAACTAGCAATAGACATTCTGGAAACCTATTAAATCAGGGACCAGTTACCACCAACTGTATCTAAATGCACTAAAACGACAAAAATCCAACTGTCGGTTTTTCACAGAAAGCCGCAAAAACATAAATACATTTCGGTAGCTAGGAAAAACAAAAATGGTTCTTTAAAATCATGCAAGCAATAAAAGATATTAATAACAAAACTAACTTGGACAGGTCAAGCACTTATGTTTCAACCAAGCTTTCTAAACTTCTTGATGTTTTCAGATTTTTCGAAATGGTTAAAGATATTTGGTTCACTGGACAACCTAAAGGACGAAAGAAAACGATGGAGTCTGGAAGTTGCGAGCGGCTTCTCGTACATATCATCCATGTAACCTTTCACCAAAAGATTACAGAAGTTAATGAAACTAAATATAAATTAAACAAACAAACAAATTATGTGTAAAATGCAGGGATCGTCAAATCCGGTTTAATTAATAACACAATGGTATACACGATAAATCAAATAAGAGTAGTAAAAATTAAGAAATAATCATCAGCTGGTTGGATACCACGTAGAAAACCCTTGCCCAATGATGTTCAACTTTTTTCATATAAATTTAAAAATAGATATGCAAATGATAACTATCGAAACTACCAAACCTATAAGAAGTTGAAACTCTGACCGTTCCCCAACATTCTTTCCTTAAATTCGACGCAAAATATTTAACTTAACAACTTAGCCAAAATCGTCATTACAGACGAATCAATACTGCATGTGACACCTAAAATAAACCGCACTGTCGCAAGTTCTCTTTAATTATTATATCAGTAACGGCATCGAAAACAAAGCGTATGTTGTTTGTATCCGTTGCACACGTGAAGTGAGTATAAATTTCTTTCTGACCATCTTTTCGCTTGTTCAAATTTTCAAACTGCAGTTGTATGTAAGCAGCTGCTTCTTCATATGTGTTTGTACCTAAACTGACAATTTGTGAGGATTGCATATGATAAATAAGTGAGGATTATGTACAAAGAAAAACTATCACGAAGCAGCTTGCGTAGTAGAAAGCTCAATACAAAACAGAATCAAAGTATCTGCAGATGTTCAGAAAAAGTTTGATATTTTATTTCGTAAGCTGAAATAATAAACCAGAAGTACTGACCGGTATACTCTGGAAAGCATAATGTTAGTGGCGATTTTCTTATTTTTTCTTCGAAAAGGTCTTTTTTGTTTAAGAATAATATTATTGACGTGTCTGTAAACCACTTGTTATTGCAGATTGAGTCGAATAACTTCATGCTTTCTACCATCCGATTCTGTAATTACTGACTGGAGAAAATATGGCTCGACAATACTCAATCTTGAAATCTCATGAGAACATAAAAATAGCACGAGCTAGACAATATTATGTGTGACATTTGCTCTGAAAGCTACAAGAAAAGTTCTACAAAAGACTACCGAAACATTTACAAAGCTATGAAATAAACCCATGTTAAAGAAGATTGGAATTTGTACTTTGCAGTGTTGAATGATGATAAAGATCTGACTGCAGTGATGAGTAAGTGGACCAAACAATATAAATGGAGAAACACAACATTCTTACCATTTCATCGTCTTCCGCAAGCTTCATATCATATTCAGACATTGCTACGCAAAAGATGATAGCTGTTACACCTTCAAAGCAATGAATCCATTTTTTGCGTTCAGAACGTTGACCACCAACATCAAACATTCTGAAAGCAGTTCATCTAAATGATATGGTGAACATGAAATATCAGCTCTAACATTAGAAAAAAGTAACGATATTATATCATCATGACCACGCACTTGAAATGTAAATCCTTGTAGGTGAAATGCGTTTCAACAATTCCTGTTGTCTTTACGCGTGTCCTCAAGACATCATCTTGTGTTGGCACATAACCAGGCTGTGATATCCTGAAAACATTACACCCTAGAAAATTTTGAACACATTACATCACGATCAAAGTAATGTGAACATAACTCGTTTGCAATCATAATGTTCTAAAATATCAACTAACTGTCTGCTTACTTCTCATTCAAAATCTGCTTAATGTCATCTTACCAGGAAGAGTAAGGACAGTTGTGATAATTTTAAAATATAGAGTGATTTGCAATATCACAAAACTCGGGGTAAATATCGAAAAGAAACATGCCTGTCTAAATAATTCAGATAATATGGAGCGGAATCATTCAGCTGATATTCCCTGGAACGCATGAAGCATTCCTGAACTCCTGGATCTGCCCACAAACGTTTCATACAAACAGCTAACTCAGGAGGCAGTTCTCCTTCATCACAACTTTGGGCTAACATAAAGAACTGGCGAGCATCCTCATTTCGTACATCTGCTGAGAAATCTATCTGTAAATGCTAGCGTTTTGTGTGGTTATTCTTTTTCCATAAATGATGATCTTAAATAACAGTAAATCAATGTCAAGAATGAAAATTGTATAGAAACTTAATTATGAAAGTTACAACAACGTTCACTACATTCATTATGTTTTAGAATGCCTTATTCAGAAAAATGTGAGATGCATTCTAAGAGCCCTCTTCTGATAAAAATGCATTATGATATTCTTCTGCTAACAAAATTTCATGTCTCCACGATATAGTTCCTATTGGTTCAGTAATAGATTCATGACTGATAGATTTAGTAATATAATAACACAAATTAACTACAAATGACAACCTTAAGCTGCCCCATAGCTCGTATGATTGCCATCATACTTTGAATTGTATTCGAGTACACTACAGGCTTGTACGCTTTACGCTCTTCATCACTGTAACCAGTTTCGTGAATAATTTTCATTTGTTTTACAATAGTGCTTTTCCCAGATTCTCCTGCACCCAACAGCAATAATTTCACTTCCCGAGATGCTCTTTCTCCATCTGCTTTTAACTGGAAAAACTGACAAATTACCAACGTGCGTAGTAGTAATATTAATTTACTCATGGCAATTGAAATAAATAATATGATTTGAACAAAAGACAGCTTCACGTTGTCACCAAAAAATGAACTTCAGAAAAGAAATACCTGTTCATCTATTTGCTTTGACCTCGCCTTCGCATTTTGATCAATGCTGTTCACGCAACCCATTGCTTACTACTTTCTTTTAAAACAGACTATGATCTATTTAAGGGAAAAAACATCGCAAATTCCCTTCCCTTTTAAGTCTTGCCTGAAAGACGCACCTCGTGATTACATGATTTCAATAACCTATACATATATAAAAACAACAATAAAACGACACATAAATATATAGGAAAGGTTGAGGAGTGGATTAGTTATTCGTGGAAAAAAATATCTTATAAAGGAGCTAACGGTTTGGTAGCAACAAGAAGTTTATTTGAGGTCTTAATAAACAGATCTGAGATAACACTATACACAAAAGAATAGAACAAACAAAGATCCGAACTAACTAATATTTTCCCAGCCGTTCTACTACGATCACTACCACCACTAATAATCACGATTATTAAGATCAGTATTGCAATATATGTCATTATCGCTAATCTATTACAAATACGACCACATAACCGCTGACTTAGCATAACCATTATTACTAGCAAAACAGTTTACTTTTGCAACCTAACACTAATTTCGGGTTGGAAGACGAAATTCCGATCCTCCTTACATGAATTCTTCGCCCACAACCAAAAAGTTGTATTATTATTGTTGTCCACTTAGTAGAAAATGAGTAAATGGAAGGTAAAAGGAAGAGAAAAAAAAACGAATAAAAAATAATGCAATGCTATTCGTAACCAACTTCAGAATAGGATTTTCCGCGTCTTTTCTCTCCTCGCCCACGGACTAATCCTAAATCTAAAAAAAGACAGGTCTAAACCTAAAAAGTCTGAAAAAGAAAGTCCTAAATCTGAAAAAGATTTAGGATCTATCCGAGGGACAGAAAAGAACGCGGAAAATCCTATTTTAACAAGAAATTGTTTCTCTTTTTCCCTCTACTTATCCATCCTTTAGTAGTATAATCATCATGCACTGATATAACCTAATGCGTTACCGCTATCACTTTCACAGTCGCTGTCGACAAAAACATCCTTTATAGTCAAAACGCCCACTTCATCCTCACCTTTGTTAACGAACGTTAGTGTTAGTGCTCAAAAATATTAACCGCACAAATTCGAAACTGTGATAAGCATTAAACAGTTAAGGAGTAATAGTACCTCACGAGATATTTGCAAGCTATTACTCGTCAAACTCTCTCCACCCTCCCACCTACCTGCTCCACAGGACTTCAATACGATTCTACACGTGTTCCAGCAAAACAGGCTTTTGGAAAAGGTCATATTGCGAACGGACCATCCATGATATCGTCTGTTCAAACCATTATGTTCAGAGCTCGGTGAAAATTCTCGTCCCATAGTCCATTGACTTTACGATTTTGACGACAGCACGATAACCTACGTTGGGGATAAAAATATCCAAATAATAGGTGCACTTCATGCTCTCTCTCTTCTCTTCATTACACATAAAACTTTGACCAATTAATACAAATCCAAAGTTTATATGCATATATATGAGAAAGGGGAGAAGGAAGTGCAATAAGTGTGTCATCAAGCAATCCCCTTCTTTTAATTGTTATCAGTGAAGAGAACATCATGAATGCCGCACCTGCCCACTCATCTTTTTTCCACTTCACTCCCCGGATCCTTCGTTGCATACAGTAGCAGGAGCATCATATTACTACACGATGGATGACATGACAGCGAAACGCAAATCTTCACTGATATTTTCTTATTTCTCTTCCTTGGCATGATCTCTATCTCGTGGACTTGAATGAGAATAATTTGAGAAAATTCTTACGACGAGTTTCCCACTCCACTAATTCCTTCCTTCTTAAAAAGATACAAATGAGAGGTCGTTATGATTACTAATTGTAAATACGTACAATAAACCTCTATTTGCAGCTGCTGAAAACTATTCATCTGCACCAGTGGTAAGCATCTTTTACGTTCCATATTTGTCAATGGTTAACAATTCTGATAAGCGTAAATACATAAATAGCAATAAGTAAATTGCTGTAGGTTGATTATTCAGCTTAAGGGTTGTCAAACCTCTACTTTCTAAAGTTGTTTCGTACACTCTTAAGACTGACTGTATTACATATTGGATACAAGTAATAATTGCGCCATTATATTATATATATTTATATATATAGTCATTTTTATCTTGCTGACGAGGCCTCGCCTTCATTCAGAAATTTGGTTAAGTACCACTGACTGATACACTGTTAATAAAGAAAAAATAAGGATGAGAAAAGTTTCAACAACTTTGTTCGAGTAAGTTTATTGAGAAATCCCTTAAGAAAACTGTTCAAACATTTTCGGAATTAGCTGATTATAAGCATAGAAACTCAACTTCTAGCTCGTCCGTCGAATAGTTCTTTTTTTTCTTACAGATTCAGTTTCATACCTAATTTCCAATTTATTGCCATTAGATGAAAATAATTGAAATATTTCTAGAAAAACGAGTTAAAAAAGCATAGGAATAGATGACCAGAACAGAATCCCGTTAAATGTTATTTTAGGCGTAAATTGTAGCCGTAGCAATTTGTTGGAGTGTTATTCTGAAATATTTTATCGCATGCACGTGGCAATACACAAATTCATATTTTCGAAAGAAGGAATACTTAAAATATTGTAAATATTTTGTATTCTTGGAAATTATCCCACAAGTATTCGAAGTGTCTCTAAACATTCACAGTTATAACAGGTAATCAAAGATGTAAAACATAATTTTCAAACGAAGTACCATAACTCTGTAAGATCGAGTTGAACAACTGATGAATATCATCTAAGAATCTAAAATCTATCATTTCAATGAGCGTGTAAACTGGCATTGTTTGTAAACATAAGATGCAATGTTCAACTTGACAATCTATTGCTAGCAACAAATCTTAGATTTAAGTGGTAAAATTTATCACTACAAGGTTAGTACTGCACTCTTTAAGATGTGCACCGATTTTAAACCAGAAATTAAAGGTAATCATCCTCAGCCATCGGAATACGTTTGACGAAGTGCACTGCATTCAAGAATTAAGTAAAAGAGTAAATGGAAATTTCCTAGAACAGCTGAACAAGCCTCCTGATAAAGACACGGAATATATATTTCGTCTTACCTGATAGATCACAGCGGGATTTCGCCATCCTTCCTTGTTCCGGAAGGGTAGTCCAATATTGTTTTCTGAGATCACGGAGAATGAAATTCTTCCATACAAAAGTTATACAAAAAAAATTAAAGATGAGTAGCAAGGATCAAAACTGGTCCAGACACCAATTTGCATTTAAGGTATTTTGTGATAACCGTGACAAACTTTTAATTTTCAGTAGGCAAATAATTACTGATAAATGCTAACAAGTGCAGCTATAAAGACTCACAATACCTTTAGGTTATGTGTTGGTCGAAGTAAAGGTGATAGCAGTCTTGCTTCCACTGGTAAATGTTCAACACTCCCTAAAATCATCAAGTTACAAATGATTTTGTTTGGTAATAAACAAAATTTGATACTGACCTGACATTTTAGAAAAACTTTAGACTACCTGAAAACCACTGAACAATATGCGCAACTACGAACGCAACCAACAGAGCGGAGATGCTGTAGTATTGATAAGAAAGACGAAATAGCTGAATCAACCATACATTACTGAAAAATGAGCAATAGTCTATAGAGCATTTTCTTACCTATTAATTTCAAATCTTAGATTTCAGTATAAACATAAGGCAAAGCAAACAGGGAGGAAGAAATGTTGAAGTGGCAACAGGTATACCTTTGTAAAGGATGGACCATTCCGTACTCCGGTTTTTCAGCAAATGTTAAAGTGACATTACTTTGTCCACAAGTTTCATCAATTGGTAAAGCAACCGGTTTCACCTGGTTTACCAATGCACCAGCAGCAATGAAGACGCAGAACACTGTTGACGCCACCTGAGCTAAAATTCCATTTTAAACTCAGTAGATCATATCACTTCAAGTCGTTTACCCGATATAACTGTAATGATTTTAATTTCAATCTTCATAATTCGTCATGTTCTTGTACACTAACCAATAAAAGCTGCCAGTCCCTTAATTTTTGGGAAAAACATGCCCAAACAAAAGACACTCAAAACGGGTCCTCCAGCAATTCCGAATATTGAAAGCGAGACCTGTAAAAAAAATGAACATATAAACTGTCACGGTGTTAAAATAAAAAAAAAATCCTGATGGAATAAAGTAATTTTTATGACTAGCAGAGCGAGAACTAACCTGCAGCACCATCGTTTTCATTAAACTACAAAGATAGGCGATCACCATTGATAAAAAACAAAACAATAATGCTGAAAAATAGTTACTCTGAAGAAACAAAATGCAGATTTCTGATATTCAGTTTGAAACAAAATCAATTAAAGAGCAATTAAGACATACGTAGATATCGTGCTAATAAGATGCTAGTATTTGGCTTTAGTGGTTCGCGTTTTTGCACCTTAGTTTGGAACTGCTTAACAACATCTTCGATGAATACTGCAGCGAGGGCGCTATACGAAGCTGACGCCGTACTAAAAACAGCAAATTTTACCTTTGAAATAAGTACATCGGGAAATCTAATCTCCACCGTACCCGGTACATGGACTTATGACATCGCATTTCCGGAAGTGTATTCTGATCGAGTGGAAAACAGAGAATTTTATTATACCTTAAACATACCTTAAACCTGCACTATATACAGATGCTGCAAAAAGTCCAACCATTCCAGGTATTACAGATAATTCATCAATAACGAAACGAGGAAAAAGCTGCAAGGTAGAAACAAATCTATGAATGTCTCATAAAGCAGTACATGACGGCTCGACCCAAAGATATATTTTGTAGAGTATATTTAAAATTTCAACTAGATTCTAGAGGAATTTTTTGTCGAGAATTTATAATAATGAACTAATTCCAAACAAAGTAATCGATAAATGCATAGAAACTGGAGTTACAACAAATTTTTAAACTATATTTTGCATCAAATCCAAAACAAAATAGAAAATTACAATACTTGGTCATTTGATTGCAGAGCTGGGTTACAATGAAAATATTTGTGGTATATTATCAGGCCTGCACCAACATATGTAGTAAGAATGAGAAAATTGAAGGGAATATTTAGCAGAACAACCCTGAAATATCACTCCATAAATTGTTATCAAGATATTCAGAAATATGATAAAAATTTACCACTGTGCAGATCTAAGCGAACTCATTGCCATATAACGCTGTATTGTAAGTTGATTAGCTGCAAAAAGACACAATATATTTCCTGTACCACCAATCATTAAGGACCATACCGAGTGTCGGATACGTGGATCAATTCGGAAACTGGAATCAACCATAAATTGTTGAGGTATAACATGTGTGATCGATTATTCCCCTGTGAAATCGACCATATTTTGGATCATTGATTCCCAGCAAACGTTTTTTTCTTTTTTTTTTTTTTGTTTGGTCCTTTTAGTTAGCACTGAAGTTAATTTCAGCAATCAGTCTATCTGACACTTACTTAAAGATACAAATTAAGGGCTTACTCAAGTAGCTGCAGGCGACCTCCAGCAACAGCAGTTTTTAAAACGTTATTAAAACCGAAGTGATATAAACTAACTGAAAAAATCAGCATCATACTCGCTAAAATTAGTGCCATTTGTAAAGCTGAAGTATATATGCTTGCTTTTGCGCCCCCCTGAAAACTGGATCATCAATAAATGGAAAGAAAAAATCCTTTCGAATAAATATCTTTCTTTTCTAGTATAACAACCTACCAATGTCACATAAAGAGCGGCAAGACCTGCCGTCAGAACAATTGACACAGATAACGGGATGGAAATAATTGTCGATAATGCAAGTGCCGGTGCATACAGTGTCACACTAACATAAAGCCAAGTCTGGAAGTAAAAATGTTATTTGGAAACGTAATTTAAATTACTACGAATGAAGAAGTCGAAAAAGACTGAGCTTACACCAACTTACCTTCACTTATCACAATTCTATTTTCACTCTTAAACCTGTTTTATAATTTATGCGCACTCCTTTACACAAAACTTTTTCATGCAACAGGTAGAATTTGAACAACAAAACTCGGAAGTTTAAAACTTCATCAAAGAACATCCTGTCAACAGTGGTGATTGCCATCCGATCAAAAATGATAATGACTTATAATGCTCATTCTGCAGCTCATTTTACATTTCAATATGCTCTGGGGTACTTTCTAGTTATTTTTCATGATTTACTCAAAAAGTTTTTCATTAATAGCAATAATAAGTAGGATGTGTTGTAAAAAGTTAACACAAAAATTAGTTATAATATGTGACTCGTATAGAAAATAAGTTAGGTCAAATCACGAGATGATTAATCCAAACAATCTGTTGTCAAAGTAACAATCCAAGCTTTGCATCAATTAAATAAAGCACTATTACCTGAATGCAGAAGGTAACTGAAGCCAAGAACCGACAAGCAAAATTGAACCGAATCTCCAAGTACTACAAATACAAAAGAGTCAATAACAAAGTTGAGAGATTTCCACAATGTATGGAGAACTCAGTAATGATAAATAAGATACCAACTTCGTATATACTTGTAAGCTTCATGTTATAGAAAACAGGCAAAAAACAATAAGCTGCAATAGGAAATGCCACCATGTACATCGGACCATACCAAAATATCATTGCTCCTTGGTAATGGACCTACAGGAAAATTCATAGTTCAGCAAACATACTTACGCAAATTTTGGAAAACGGAGATGAATATAAGAGTAGTTAAATTCTGAAGAAAAAGTACCACTGTATGCAAATCTCCTGTCAATGAGAAAGATATTAAACAGCTAAATGGAAAAAACTGAATGAAATGGAAGGAATTAAACGCTAAATGAAGGATTAAACCGTTACAGCATTTTTAATTGAACAATTTGATCAGTACACATACCTCTGCAGGAAATCCTAGAAGTGAAATTGCGGAAAGAAATCCCGAACAAACCGATAAAGCTGATGTCAGTACAGATACGCTGAAAAATTATTCCTCCTCCTCCATTCAGGAGTCATTATAACAAACTGACGAAATAATATCCTAAATTGATCAGACAATTATTCGTAAATTATTAACCCGACATTTGTCATCTCATCATTTTTCAAGAAATTAGGATCAGCTCACCACTCTCATGTGCCACATTTTCATACGAGAAAATTAACAAGGATTTTGTTGCCCAATTTTTCAACCGTCGGTACTGTTGTCACATATATGACATAGATTTCGTATTTTCAACAAGAATAAGCTAAGAGTACAAACTTCGACCCATGTAAAATCTGAGCTGCGGATGTTTGTTTTGTACCATGTAATGCCGTGAACAAGCCGAAAAAGGAAATTGCAACGAGAAGGCCTATAAGAACAACTATGTCCACAATATCCATAGTCTAAATCAGTGTATCCTGAAATATAACCAATTCATCATCGTGCCGAAGTCAGTGTCTGATGATAACCACGCTTCTCTGGATCCGAAAACAAAAAAAGACAAGAATGACTTAAACAAGCTTATGTGAAAGTAAAGACAACGATCTCATACAACAGTTTCAACCTATGACTAACATTAATTAGTATCACTTGTCACAAACCGCAATGAAAACTGTGACTAAGGAGGGAAAATTATAAAACAAAAGTGTTGTGATAAAATAAGTGTCAGACAGACGTTAGAGAATTGGAACCGTCAGAAAACATCACTAAATGTTGAAGACTGCGACGAATTATCACTGAATGAAGAGCAAAGAGTTGCTGACAAAATAGGAAATGAAGTGGAAGTTGCAGTAGTCATAAGTAGAGGAGCAGGAAACGGATATAACGGAAATGAAAATGCAGTGTTTTGTAATAAACAGTGCATACATCAACATTTGAAACTAAACCTGAAAAAAAAAAAAAAACTTTACATTATTTTAAGCTTAAAAAAACACAAATGAAATTTAGAAAGCCAGTAAATAATACCAAGTCCCGAAGGACACCCGCGGAATACTTGCCTTACCTATCACGTCTACTCATGGAGAATGGCATCACAAAAGTAAGAAACGCAGAAGCTTACTGTTTATGGCACAAGCTATGGAATGGAAACGTAGCATGTATTCAGTGTTAGCGAAACAAAGAATAGTGTGATAAATGAAGAGATAACAGAGATCGATAACATTGACAGGACAGAATTACGATAGCAGCAAAGAGGACGGCAAAATATGGTGTAAAATGTGAAAAAGGGGAGATATTAAGAGAGAAGCAAAAGCGGAGAGGGGGCATTTCGATATATTTAAGGAAGAGTGAATTCCTGTATGATTAATTATTCATCGAAAGATGCTCAGAAAACAGAGTTTTGTTTACATGCACAATTCAAACATGAACCATTTTACAATAACTGGGGAATGGGAGGGGATGGATAGCCTACGACACTTCGATGACTTCTCTGCTCATAGGACTATACTGGCAATTATGGTATATTCTCAGCGGTCTCGACAGAGGCGGTAGGGTGGATATTATTGATCAATGGACACTTTTAGAATTAGTAGTGAAAGGCTTCCTGCACTCGGTGCAGGTGCATGTACAAGTTGATGTAAAATATCAAAGAACAGTACAATATAACGGAATTGTGCATGTATATATTCATGTTCAGCTATTTGATTGCTACAATAATAACTCTAACGCATATTTGGATGTGGCGCGAGCAAATGTCGCATTGTGAAGGCAATATGCAGAGGTTGTTATGCAATGTTGTGAGCTATAAACTTGTCGTTCGTGATTTTTTTAGAAATTATCAGTCAACTGACAGAAGACGTCCTTCTTCTAGGAGTGTGTCGGTATGTTTGTGTGTATCAATGCTGCATACTTTTTGAACGAGGAGAAGAATTAGTAATACACTTATTGGTGGTATATTTACTCCTTTTTACATTTCCATTCCCATCCGTAGATGGATTCCTACTTCATTGTCTTTTTCTTGACTTTGTTCTCATTATTCAGAACAAGAATCCAAACTATTCTTCCGTCCAAAAATCCTTTTAAGTCTGATAAATGGCTTAAAGTAGAGTTATCAATCAGTCTGTAAAAGACAATTGTGATATAGTTCAACAATAATCATAACATGAGTTCTATATTGGTATTAAAGGGGATGATTTT